TACCTCTTGTGGGTAGGAATCTCTTCTGTCCTCGGGCCTTCGAGAAGGACATGTAGGGATCATTGGTAATGACCTGGGATTGTAGCAGCTTCATCCAAGCTTTGCTGTTCGTGAGCCATATGTATATATCATTTGCCTTGTACTGTGTTAATTATTATATTGTGTTGTGGCTTCCTTTCTTAAGAATATATGGTTTTTGTGTTTTATCTTGACCTGAAGATTGACACTCACATTTTTTATCTACCAAAAGAAAATGGGCTAAGCATTTTTATTGTTACGGTAGCACTAGAGGGACACAGCTCTAAATAGCTACTGAGGGTTGTGTGCTTTCAACCGGTAGGAAAACGCCAACAGCGGTGCGCTTACATGCAAGTACAGAGGGGGCCGGGCCGGGCTGCTCACTGCTGGGAAGAAACTGGCGCTCGATCCCCCAGAACTGTGCTAATGGGAAGAGCCTCACGACGACCCATTTGAGCACGGACGGGAAACGGTAACTGGAAGGGAGTTAACAGTCTGCCCTTTATTCTTCCTGCCCACCATCCACCATAAGTATGCCACGAAACAAAACTTACTTTGAGCAGCCAAGTGAGGACTGAGTCACGGTATGGAACGAACTTATTCTTGTTTTTGCCCGCGCTCTGATCTGCCAGGGCTGAGATAACCAGGCCGAGGGTTGTGAGGGACCTGCATGGCGCAACAAACGTGATAATTACGAAAAGTGGAATATATCAAATGTCACACGTTAACGCAAAGATCGAACACCAAGATGACTCTGTACCTGCATGTAAGCGGCACTGCTGTTGGCGTTTTCCTACCCGCTTCGAAAGCACACAACCCTCAGTAGCTATTTAGAGCTGTGTCCCTCTAGTGCTACCATAAGCAATAAAAATGCTTAGCCCACTTTTCTTTTGGTAGATAAAAAATGTGAGCTGTCAATCTTCAGGTCAAGATAAAATCACAAAAACCATATATTCTTAAGAAAGGAAGCCACAACACAATATAATAATTAAAACACAGTACAAGGCAAAATGATATATACATATGGCTCATGAACAGCAAAGCTTGGATGAAGCTGCTACAATCCCCAGGTCATTCCCAATGACCCCTACATGTCCTTCTCGAAGGCCCGAGGACAGAAGAGATTCCTACCCACAAGGAGGTAACAATTTAACTTGAGAGAGAAAATACAACTGTAGGAAGGGATTGGTACACAAACTATAACTGTATAAAGTGCCAGCTTCTGGGACCTGGACAAACACAATAGCAGTCATAAAAGGGAAAGCCAACGTGGCCGGTACACAGGTCATTTGTCCAGACAGCAATACACAGTGAAGACCAATGCTAGGCCCCGAGAGACCAATCATCTCTGTTCTCTCCTACAGCCTGGACCACTGGTTCCCACCTGGAGGGTGACTGTGCCTCAAAGAAACAGCATGCAATGCCCAGAGTCAGGCTGTTGCAACTGGGGGTGCGGGAAGAGGTGGCAGGTACTACCGCCACCTAGAGGCAGAAGCCAGGGATGCCGCTAAACATCCCGCAAAACCCAAGGACCACCCTGCTATATGAAAAGAATTACCACACCCAGAAAGTCAACAGGCCCATTGTTGAGAAACCCTGACCACCATCAGACACCCCAAGACATAAAATGGGCTCAGTCCTACTGAAGATACTAGAGAAAAAATCCAAACTATTTATTCATTATAGCCTTAATTGCTCCAGAATCATCATATTATTTTAATAACCACAGATCTTCCCCCTATTTGCTATTAACCCAATAAAGCTAAAAATAAGCGTCTGGGAAACCTACTTGTTGTGTTGCGTCCCCTTTCATCACCTGTCGCCGCAGCCCTTTTTTCGTGGCTCGCTACACTGCACCGTAAGTTCGACCAAGCTCAGTTGCCCCCTCCCCGATGTCTAACAAGTGAATTGATAAACGCTAATAAATAGTCAAGAATACAGATAGTGGGAACTATCTATCTCAACCAAGAGAGATATGATCTAAATCTCTTTAGTAACGTTTATTTTCTGTTATTTCAAAATCATTCGTTGCATAAAACACTGTAGGAAAATTATACCGTTTAGTAATGGATAGCACGACATTAATAAATACCTACTAATCCAGACAGATGAGAAGTTAATCATCCCAGAAAAACAGTGTCTCCAAAATGGACATTTGGAAGGATGCCCAGAAATTCAGGGAAGTATACAAAAGTACATTATATAAATTCACTGTGAATTGGAAACTATGCTTAAATTCTCATGAATATTTACCAATAATCCTTGAAAAAATTTACCGGCAATTCTTACTGAGTGAAAAAAAAAAAAAATTAATCTGAATTTAATAAAAAAAACTCTCAAAACTCAAAACATTCTAAAGTTTATCTTATATATAATAATTCCCTTTTATTCATAATTTTAGGTATTAGATTTATATGCTTTTCAGTTAGTATTATAAATATATACACACATACATATATACTGATTTTTTCTTTAATCAAAAGTGCTATTAATCAAATCATGTAGCAGATATTTTATACCTTCAGCAACAATACAAAAAAATACAGGAAAACAATGCCAAAACCTATAGAGTGGATCAATTTTTAAAGCTTTCCTTTAAAATATGCACTTAATATTCCCATAAGTAAACATGTTGCTAAGAAGGATATTCAGCTTCTCCCAAATCAAAGTACTTTGGTTTAAAAAAAGTCTTCAGTATGTTTTTTGTTTTATGCTGAAAAGGAAATAGCAAACAAGAGAACTTTTGTGTGTTAACACTAACTTGCTGTGATGGTAAAAGAAGAAAAATATGCTTTCAGCAATGAAAAGAAATCCTCCAAAATATAGCACTCCTGCCAGGGCGATTATTTTAGCTTCTGGTGTTTGACATTGATGCATAGGAGTAGGCATCACAGCAAAACATGTAAAACTTGACATGAGAACAGGGAGGACACAAACGTATGGTCAACAGCGAAATTTGCAATGCGCCAACAGCACATACATCTCTGACTCAGTTTACTTTCATAGATTCAAAAATAAAACTCAAAAATAATATCTACAAAATCTAGTGATTTTAATTACAATTGCCCGGTGTAATTTATTCCTTCCTAATTAATAATCAGCATGTAGCAAAGGTAACACTGCAAAAGCCGCCCACTGAATGAGCTGCAGCGCTAACACTTGCTCACAGTCAGACGGGACAGGTACGCGCGCCGACACGCTGTGGCACTGAGGGCCGGCAGGGCCCCCCTCTGTTCCCCTTTCCTCTCGTGGGAGAGGGTGGCGCTAAAGCCTACATTTCTCAGACTTCTCGGCAGCCAGGGTTCAGCATGTGACTGCCGTCTGTCGGGCCAGGTTCACGTGCTGAACACTGGGGAAAGCAGAAGTAGAGCAGAGTCCCTCCTTCCCCTCTTCTGTTTTTCCTGCTGGAAGCAGGATCGTGGAAATACAAGGTTTTCTATGGGAGTGTTCCCGGCACATTCCCCAGCTTCCACGGTCTAAGGGGCCAGCTGCATTGACAGAAGAAACTTCTTTATTCCTGCTTCCTGATTACAGAGACGGGTTCTTGATATCCACAGTTCCAGTGGTGCCTCACGAGGTGGCACCAGCCCTGGGGGGGATCTCTGTTGCTCTGGGAGTTATTCCCAGAGATTCAGTCTGGACTCCCTTCTGCCTCAGGTGTCCCAACAACTCTCATCATCAAAGACCCTCTATTAAAGCCCCTTTCTGGTTGCACAGGCGCGGTGGCTCACGCCTGTAATCCCGGCACTCCTGGAGGCCAAGGAGGCAGATCGCTCGAGGTCAGGAGTTCAAAACCAGCCTGAGCAAGAGCGACGACCCATCTCTACTATAAATAGAAAGAGATTAATTGGCTAACTAATATACAGAGAGAAAAAATTAGCCGGCATGTGGCGCATGCCACAGTCCCAGCTACTCGGGAGCTGAGGCAGGAGGATTACTTGAGCCCAGGAGTTTGAGGTTGCTGTGAGCTAGGCTGACACCACGGCACTCACTATAGCCTGGGCAACAAGCGAGACTCTGTCTCAAAAAAAAAAATATGCTTCATATAAACGACAAAAGCTTTAGTCTACTGACTATATGAATCACTTAGATTAAAAGTCATCCTTTAAGCTTTAAAGTAATCTACTTAATTCCCTGGCCTAAATCACATTCAATAATGGTAGGTGAGCTATTTAGCTTATTGAAAGCAATATCTGGATATCACTTTGTATATCACTAGGCTAAATGACATCACTCAAAGACTAAAAAGGGAAACTGAGCCCAGAAACCCAGGACTGTTCTCCATTCCAGCTTATTCAAATGAAAACAATTCGCTAAGTGTTTTTTTTGAATAAGCATGGTTCCTCGAGTTTAAAAAAGCACTGTGAAATACTATTCTACTTGATGGCAGGGAGCTCGCAGCAGAACACACGGCCTCACCTTTAGATAGTACACCAGGAGTTCGTTCAGCGCAGGGTCCGCGTTCAGGTTCACAAGGAAACACTTGTCATCCCCGACTTTGATTCCGGAAGACTGCAGTGATATTCCAAGGCTCTCGAGCTGTTTCTGTCTCTCCTGTAATGCATTAGAGAAGTTAATTCCACAGCCATTGAGGCAGCAAGATATAAAAGATCTTACGATGTCAGAATAATTACTCAACACCTTTATAGTTGAAATATGCTATCTTAGGATACGGCATTATAGATTATTGCATTTTTCTCTTCTTGCTAAACTACATAAAATTGTTTTTGGTTAATTCAAATTTTATTTTGCAAAATAAAACCCATTACAAATAGCAACAAAGTACACTAGGCTCGGGTAGCACTGGATAAAACAGGCAGGGCCCTCCGAAGGGACCCGAGAGAGGAAGAGAAAAGACGCCAAAGCCAGGCTCCCCGAGCACCGCAATCGCTCCTACACCTACTTGCTGTGCATCGGCTCTATTGAGCTGCTACTGCACTTGAATGTTTACTTTTTTTTTCTTATTTTTAATTTTTCTTTTTTTTTAGTTTTAGTTACCTTATCACAGTGCATTGAATGTTTATTTTTGAAGTAGCTCAAAACGGCTCACGCCAAGTAGTCCCGAACTGGACAATTATTAATATTACAGTGACAGATAATTTATAATAAATATAACCTGATACATGTGATGAGAACTAATTTATACACTGATGTGTTTTATTCTCTGTAATCTGGGGGATATGTTTTAAGATAACCCAATGCAGGGATTTGGATAAAACAAGACCGGCCATGTGTTGATCTTTAACGACACCAGGTGATGGGTATCTGTAGATTTATTATACTCTAATTGTTCTCTATTTTGAAAATATCCATAATAAAAAGGATTTTAAAATTGAGTTTAATCCTAGTCTACACTAATATACCATCTGCTTTCTGCTAAGTAACAGTACCACCCTACAACATCTGACGCAAACAGAGACTGACTCTGGCCAGCATATTTAAAAATGGAAATCTACAGGGTGACAAAAGATGTAGCAAGTTCTATATATTCTCTAATACGAGGAACCGTTAAAACACACGAGGGCATTTTAACTTGGGAAAGGAAGAGGAAGAGGCAGAGAGGTGGACGGAAATAGCTGAACAACTGAACTGGCTAGTAAGAGTCCCAGTGGTGCAAGGCTAATGAGAGGATTACATAAAATACTGTAGTTAAAAGTACTTAGCCTATGGCCCAACACACAAGTGTACCAAATTAATGTTGGCTATTATCATCTTTAGTTCCTGCATACAGGTGGGACACTTATTCTCTTTGATATATAAGAACAAATTAGGGCCAATGAGTAAAAAATGAAAGAATAAGAGATTCATTAAATAGCTTCTATTAGAGTCGTCCAGTCATGAAAAGACTACTAGATGGCTACCAAGCTCCACATTGCCACAGGTGTGTCTAAAACAGAGGCTGGATAACCATATAGCAGGAAAGCCACAAAGTAAATCCTTTTTTTAAGTAGACAGACCTTTTAGCATTTTCTCCCTATGCTAACCTGGACTAGATCATCCTAGACTAATGCTCATGTTCCCACCCTAAGATGTCACAACTCTATCACTATTATTAGAAAACAGTGAGAGTCACCTCAGATTTAGGTATTTCATATTACTTTCACTGAGTTGTCACATGGGTGCAAGAAGCTCATAGCCTAACATCTACTACTAGTGATTTTGTAATTTCAGTAAGTTCCTTAAGTCTGCAAAGCGCTTAATAGACTGGGGGTGTTCAGAGGTAGAAGTTAGAAAGTATTACTTCCTTTAAAATTTTTTTTTAAAGATTACTGACACTAAAAAATTATTTGTTATGTAATAAACAATCAATTGCAATTATTCCAAATTAATGTTGCAAAGTATAGGTTCTCTTGGATTTATATTCCTATTAATGAGGCTGGATTTGCCATCAGCAAAGCTAAAAATCAAAAAGGAACCAGAGGCCAGGCATGGCGGCTCACGCCTGTAATCCTAGCACTCTGGGAGGCCTAGGCGGGCGGATTGCTCAAGGTCAGGAGTTTGAAACCAGCCTCAGCAAGAGTGAGACCCTGTCTCTACTAAAAATAGAAATAAATTAATTGACCAACTAAAAATATATGGAAAAAATTATCCAGGCATGGTGACGCATGCCTGTAGTCCCAGCACCTTGGGAGGCTGAGGCAGAAGGATTGCTCAAGCCCAGGAGTCTGAGGTTGCTATGAGCTAGGCTGACGCCACGGCACTCTAGCCCGGGCAACAGAGTGAGACTCTGTCTCAAGAAAACAGAAAAGGAACCAGAAACAGCCCCTTCATCCCCAAATTGCCATGAGTGTCCACGCTCACAATCAGCCCGATAACACAAACCTGTGCGATCTCCTCCGTCTTCCTTAATTTCTCCTCCCAGGTCACAGTCATTTCCTGAATTAGCTTTTCAGATTCTTCCAGCCGGTCCTTTAGCTCTGGAGATTTCATTGCCTACAAGCAAAATGTTTACTTCATGAAATGTCTGGATGATGCCCTGAAAATAGAATTAGCCAACTCTAAAAGGACAAAAGTAACAGTCTGCTTCCTCTCAGCTGCAAGACATGCTGAGGTCTCCGATCCTAAAACACACCGATGGCCCAACACTGATCCCAGCACTCAGACTGCTGCTGGGAACCACAGACTCATCAGTTACACAAGGTATGTTAGAGAGGAAGATTTTCAAACTTATTCCTTTTCCTCCAGCCTATTGTGAAGATCTAATTACATTTGGGGATATACAAACATGAAGTTACTAAGGGTTTATTTTTTAAATCCCAATAAGTTATATATCTGGATAGACTCATACACATAGCTCATCCCAGTCTTTATTGATGACTTCAGGAATTTATACATATGTGTAGACTAAATGTGGATGGAGTTACTGATACCAGGGAGACAGAAAGAAAATTCAAAGAACCTTGAACATTATTACTGTAAAACCAGGATAAAACTCAATAGGCAAAAATATAATCAAGATACCTGTCTTGACTATGTATTTTACTGATTTACTATCAGAAAACCAGTAAGAGAAAGAAAGCAAGCCCCAGGAAAAAGCCCCAAAGTGCTGGCTGGGTAACTGTGGGAAGAGAAACACTAAAGCAGGAGTTCTGGACCTGGTATTTCAGCCACTTTTACAAGAGGACGAGCACCTGGCTGTAGGTTAGAATTGTGTGGGTTTTCTAATTCCGTAGCAAAACATACACACCATCTGTTATAGAATATACAGAAGACAGCTCAGAGAGTACCAATAAATACATGGGGACTCTTGTTGAAATGTTTTTCTGTAAACATAATTAACCACAACATGGAAAAGCTGGATTATTAAGGCACAGGAGACCAAGATTTTCATTCTGACTTCCACCAGGTAATAAATGAGAGATGCAACAAAACCCCTGCTCTCCACATTTCCAGCAGTTAAATTAGTTTATATCCACCTTGTTTCCAGTGTCTCCCCCCTTCTCTCCCTGATTCTATTATACCTCTTCTCTCTCATCTCCTACCTGAATAGAAACGGACAAAAATGCAAAGAAACATGTTCTTGATTCCATTTATTCTCTCCTAGTCAATCCTCTGAGCACCTATTAAAAAAATCTCTAAATTTCAAATATGACAGTCTTCTGTATTTACCACTCAACTCAACTTTCTCTTGCTATAGGAAATTCAAATATCCTGAGCACTCATCCCTTACAGCAAAGGGAGAGAAGATTCAAGGGCTGGCTTGACCAGCTCCTCCCAGACGCCCCAAGCACGGCCCAGCTGCACATCCTACCTCTGCTTTGGTCAGCTGCTCCCGGAGCTTCTCGACTTCTTCACGGAGATCCCGGATGATCCTCGCGTTCGGATCCTCGTTGACCACGGCGTGGTTCACGATGTGCTTGGCGCGGTCTGCGTACCGCAGGGTCGAGAGGGTTTCGTCGTAGTTGTCGGCTGCCGGGCTCACGGTAGCCACCATGGCCGTCTTGCTGTTGCCCCCAAGACTGTCCTACAAGAGAAACGAAATTGAGCAGCGTTTTAAAGTTGGAAGAAGCCATCCTATGGGGAAGCAGCAGTCGGAAAAGGCGAATTAACTTCTCCAGGTCAAACGTGCATTTAGTGACAAAGCTAAAATGCTGACTCCAGTCCTGAGCTGTTTCTTCTCTGCCAAGCTACTTTCCTAAAAATAAAAAAAAGAAGGGAGCTTTGGTTTTTGAGAAAAGACAGGGAAATGCAAAAAAGCCTACATTTATTTCAGTTTAATAAAAATTAATTCTAAGTCAATTTGTCCTATTTAATAGGCAATGATACCATACTTCATTTTCTTCCCTCGGATAGCACTTCGAAAACTACTAAAACAGGTTTCATGCTCTGCACAACTGCTCCCACAGATCAGCCCAGGGCCCTGAGAAGAGATACGCATCTTCTACGTTCTACTCGAACCGATAAGTGCAGTGAAACGGCTCTAGAACCAGCTTCCAACAATGGGGAAAACTACCCTCATTTGAGAACATTAAAAATAATGATATACAACTCAGAATTACAAATCTAGCCTTGGGACATCAAGCCACCACTCACAGCTGCCCACACAAACGAGGCTCTGTGTGGTCTGTCCCCGAAGTCACCTCTGAGATGGCCCTGTCATCCTGCCTCCTGGTGCTCGGACCCTATTTCCATGTCCTTGCCTTGAGTGTGGCCAGGACTTACTACTTAGCCTCTAATGAATAGAACACATGGTAGTGATGGCATGTCGCTTCTAAAGTTAGATTAAAAGAAGACAGTGGTTTCTGTCTTGGGTGTTTCCTCTTGCTCTGGGGAAAACCAGCTGCCACAGGTGAGGTGGCCCTAGGAAGAGAGTCACGGGAGAGGGTTTGGAAGCAGATCTTCTAGAGATGCCAACAACCACACAAGTGAACAGCCCCAGCTGCCACTTCCACTGCAGCCCCCGGAGGGACCCAGCCAGAACCACTTAGTTAAGCTGCACCCGGAATCCCAACCTATAGAAACTGTGAGAGAATGATCGATTATTGTTTCCAGCTGTTACAGTCTGGGGATAATCCGTAACAAGCAAATAGATAACTACTCATACACTAAGATACCATTCCAGGCTGAAAAGAATTCTCCGAAAACAAAACAAAACCAAACCAAAAAAACCACAAACAAACAGACTGAACACCCTCTTTCAGCAATAGAATATAATTGAATGATAGAGTCTCAAGATTAGAGAAAATATTCTGACGGGTAACTAACAAGAAATTAGGGCACAAGAAAGCTAACTCTACATTTGGGCATTAACCTATAGAAAATTCTTGCTTTTCAATATATAAAGTTTTTCCAATCTTTGTATATCTATTACAAAATTTGTTAGAGCAATCTGTGATTTACACAATCTTTGTGCATACACTTTGTTTAGTTCTCAGCCTTTTGTATTAGTAGCCCCATTTTACTGATGAGAAAACAGGCATGTTCCGTCAAGGCAGGCTAAATACTGCACACTCTGCCTAAAACTCCAGAATAGTGAGTTGAACGATGTTATAGCCCAGCTGTACTCTGCCTTCAAGTCCAATGGTTTCCATTCCTTCCCAGCTGTCCATAATGCATACCTGGTAACACAGAGACAGCTCCGACCTGAGGATTAAGTAAGGGCACCTGACATCTTTCCAAATTATTTTGTTCCAGCATCAGGAAGAAAATAATTCCCCAGGCATTGCTAACAGTACCATTAAAATCACAGACAACACGTCTGCTTATTCAGCCATTTCTGAAAGTTTGGTTTTCCATGGAATACAGAGATAATTTCTTCAACATTATACTGTTGAAGAAAATACACTTTAATGGCTGACAAGGCAGGAAATAGAACTGATTTGGACTTTAGGAGGCAAACGCCACGACTGCCTGCTTCCCTCTTCGCTCCTAGGCCCTCATCTCATATATACAGCTGGTGCTTTGGATTTGGCCACTTCCAAAAAAATGTCAGGAAGAGTCCCATGCACACTGATGAAATTTAAATGTGATATAAGAAGACTGAAGGAATTAAATCTGACGTTGCAATTCAGTTCCCTAGCTGCATCAGCCTGCCCTTCGAGAGCTACTGCACACTGTCAGCCCACAGGAGCAGCAAATGCTATGGGGTGAAAGGGGATCTAGAACAATAACCACCAGAGGAGAAAAGTGTGTATATTGTGCTTCGATTTATGCTGAGAAAAGGAAACCTGGCAAACAACAAGTGCTTGATACTTTAAAAGCCCTTATTCATGGAGCAACAATATACTTATGTTAAAAAATGGCCCCATGCCATCAGCAAAAAGGAAATAGCAACAAAAGAACTGGCACTCATTCAAGGAGAAAGTATAAAGTTTCTTGTTTACTCTTTAATTGTTAAATTAGGCAAATCAGACGAGCTTTGTTTCAAAGGCAGCAACTGCAAATTAAATGGATGTCGGAAAGAAATTTAATTTGGAAGTCGGAATTCTTGAAGGCTGAAAGGACTCTTCAAAGTCACATAATCGAATTATTTCATTCTACAGATGAGAAACTGAGACCCAGGAAGGCTGACGTATCAAAGGTCAGACAGAGTGCTAGTTCAGAGCAGAGCCGAAATTACTCCTTCTTTCAACTCTTCATGGAGCTGACCACCTAGCAGGAGGTGCCAGAGAGCAAATGCTACATGGTAAGAACTAAAGTAGGGATAAATACAATATGGCCTGGGAAAGCAAAGATGGAGCCGAGAGCCGATTCTGGAAAGGTTAGGGAGACGCCCAGAGAAAGTGACATTTGAGACCTAAAGATAAATGAGCATTACCCAGGCAAGGGAAGGGGAGACGGAGGAAGGAGAGATTGCAGAGAGGGGGAAGAATGTTCCAGACAGAGAAGTGAAGTCCTAGAAGACAGCACCCATCACGTAGCTAGGATTTGTAACACATCATTAAAGAATTCAGACTTTATCCTAAGGGCCCGTGGACAGTCACTGAAGACACTTAAGGGTAAGAGTATTAATTTAGAAAGATGTCGCAACCTAACCATGGAGAATGAACTAAGAAAGCTCGAGGGAAATGTCTGTCATCCATGCAAGAGAGGAAAGTGGCCTTTGTTAGGGAGGTGGCAGTAAGAATGACGAGAGCAAGGAATTTAAGAGGTATATTCATGACCTGAGAACTCGTTACCGGAAAGAAGTTACTTGATGTTAAGAGCGCCACTTTTGGGACTTCAAACTAGTTCACAACCTCTGTGGAAAGCAATATGGAGATACCTCAAAGCAATAAAGTAGATCTACCATTTGATCCAGCAATTCCACTACTGGGCATCTACCCAAAAGATCAAAAGTCACTTTATGAAAAAGACACCTGCACTCGAATGTTTATAGCAGCATAATTCACAATTGCAAAGCTGTGGAAACAACCCAAGTGCCCATCAATTCATGAGTGGATTAAGAAAATATGGTATATGTATACCGTGGAGTACTATTCAGCTACAAAGAAACAACGGTGATATAGCACCTCTGTATTTTCCGTGGATAGAGGCTAGGAACCATACTACTAAGTGAAGTATTCAGAATTGGAAAAACAGCACCACATTACTTCACCAGCAGTGTTTAACGATCACACCTAGTGGACATATAGGAGTAACATCATCGGGTGTCAGCAGGGTGGAGGGAGGAGATGGGAATCAACACAAACGAGTAATATACGCAACATTTGGGGGAATGAACACGCTTGAGCTACTTTACTTCGAGGGGGTTGGGGGGGCACGGCAATCTATATAACCTAACAACTTGTACCCCATAATATGCCAAATTAAATAAATAGAATAATCTTAAAAAAGAATTAAAGAAAAATAGATTCATTCTGAGCACAAAAAAAAGATGCCACTTGAGAGCTCATATAGGAAGTGAAACTTCATCTTAATAACAAAATCGTATCCAGCTACCGACTGACTTCCCTCTGCGCTGATGCGCCTCCTCCCTGGAGAAGAGGCTCCATCCATACCCAACCAACACCATAACCAACGCAATGTTTTCTCGATTCTCGGATGCTCAGCAAACATCAGAGCACAAACATCAACTTATAATGCAGAGATAATAATAAAAAAAACTTCTAGAAAAAAATGAACGGTTACTAAAGATGAGCCATTTTAGACTCAATGAAATAGTGGGGAATAGGAATAATCGGCCCAGCGAAACACGAATGAGAGTCAGAACGTAAAAGAAGGAAAAAGCCAACATGAGACCAAAAACACTCAAAGAGAATGAGCTGCACGCAGTGGATTCGGAGACGCTCGTTGGAAAACTTGGTAAGCTCGAATATGTTTGCAAAGAAATGCCTGTTAAATGGTCATCCGGCAAAAGCCAAAATGAATTAAAAAAGGTCATGCAAGTTTTTGAGAAAAAAAATGACAGAAACCCAGCAAGACATCGAGTATTTTTTAACCACGGATTAACACTGAATTGAATTATAAACCTAATTAAACAAGAAAGTCAAGTGAGCTTTAGAAGCGTTTTTGTTCATTCCTCAGGAATAGGAATAATGTTTCAGTTATCCTATCAAAGACTGTAAACCCAGTGACTACCCTTTTTAATGAACAGAACCTTTGAAAAGAGCAAAGCACTGCGAAAACAGGGGCAGAGAGTCAGCCCTGGGCCAATTTGATCGCCAGTATAGCCTCACATTTCCCTCATCTGACAACATGACACCACATTCACTTTTTTTTTTTTATAAAAGCGGTCCCTCTGTAGCCCAGGCTGGAGGCAGTCAGGCGATCATACTCACTACAGCCTTAAACTCCGCCAAGCAGCCTCCTCCCTCAGCCTCCTGAGTACTGAAAGCATGCACCACCATGCCTGTAACTTTTTTATTTTTGTCGATGAGGGTATCACTAGTTCCAGGCTTGGTCCCAAGCATTAACCTTCGAGAAGTAAATGAGTGATGCAGGAAAGCCCAGCGGACCTCGATTCACCTAAAAAGGCCCGCGCTCCTGCCCACAGGGCGCCGGCTCCAATGTCATACCTAGCCATTTTCACTCATCCAATTAAATATAAGCAACAAAAGATATTTCTTTTTGCTAAAGGGACTGAGAAACAAGGGCATATATGACCAGAAGTTTCTGTGAATGTTGAGAAGAAAGTAACATCAAATTCTCGGAACAAAGCAACAAGAAGTGATCTCAAAGTCATTACTAGCACATCCTGTAGCAAAATGTTTGTAATATCTATACAAGTGGTTGTTTACGATAGAAAATTTGGTTTTATCTTTGTTTAAATTTCTAATTTATTCATTTTCAAGGAGAATATCTACCTCGATTTCTTAACTGTGCAAATTATCCAATTTTAGCAATTCCATTTAAGCAGAACTTCCTGACATCCATGTGAAGAATGCTCACTTGTGAAGCCATTCTTTTTTTAATGCTTGAAAGATTTGCATACAAAGCGACGACATTAACTCCTTCAAGAAATCAGAACCAGGAGAAAACTACCTACTCTCCCTCACAAAGCTGTCTGACATATGCAGGGACAAGTCAATTAACCGTTCTCTGAAGCTACTGAAAACTGTGTTGGAACCAGTCTTCTTAAATTTCCAACGTAGTAACACTTCAATAAGTCTTGATCAAGAGAAAATAAGGCACACTAAAATTATTTCCATTTTGAAAAATAAAAAAAATAGTAGACCAGACAGTAAAAGTTCCATCAAGATTGATACCTCCTATGAGGAGTGAAATTGTCTACTATTAACTTAATATCCTTATATCCCAGCCCAATACCATCGCCCACTACCACGACTAAAGGTAACCTGGAAATAGTAATATGTATTTATATTTCTATCTCTTTCTGTTCACTGGTTATGTGTTCTTCTTATCTTTACCATCGCTAACAAATGCGCTTCCTATTTACTAATTCCCGTCTCGTACGCTTTTTGTTCCGGTATTGGGTACGACGGCGAGTTTTTCCCGCTTGGTGCAGGGGGCGTCACCTCCTGCGAGGGGGGGGGGCTGGCTGGGGCCGCGGGGGGGAAGGGAGGCGAAGGCGCGGAGCGACACTGCCGTCGGGTAGCCGAAGCTCGGAGACGGCAACAAGGGGAACGCGAAGAGACGTAAAGGGGAGCGAGGAGAGGAATTAAACAGAGAACAAGTCCAAAATGTCCGAGTTAAGCAGAAACAAAGGTCTAAATAAGTCACCCAACAAAAGGATCGGGTGAGAAGCGCGCCGTCCAGCCGAAGTGTGCCCGGCAGTGGAACTCCTTCTCTAAACCCACTCAGCGTCACCCAGACGTTAGCACCATCCTTATTTTAAACTCCCAGAGTCCCCTAGACAATCTGTGTGACCCAGTTGCCCAACAGCCCACTGGCCGCCGGCCGGGCTGTTCATGCTGGGAAGACAACTGGCAGCTGCGATACCCAGAATGGCTAATGGGAAGAACCCCGACGACCCTTTGAGCAGGGACGGAAACGTAATATAACTGGGAAGAGCAGTTACACAGTCTGCCCTTACTTCCTGCCCACCATCACCATCAAGTATCGCACGAAACAAAACTTGGAAAAGCACGAAACAAAACTACTTGAGCAGCCAAGGAGGACTGAGTACGGTATGGGACGAACTTATTCTTGTTTTGCCCGCGCTCTGATCTGCAGGCTGAAGAACCAGGCCGAGGGTTGTGAGGGACCGCATGGCGCAACAAACGATCAATTACGAAAAAGGGAAATATCAAATGTCACAACTTAACGCAAAATCGAACACCAAATTCCTCTGACTTCAGTAAAGGGCCCGTTTGCGTTTTCCTACCCATCGAAAGCACACAACCCTCAGTAGCTATTTCAGAGCTGTGTCCCCTAGTGCTACCGTAAGCAATAAAAATGCTTAGCCACTTTTCTTTTGGTAGATAAAAAATGAGACTGTCAATTTCAGGTCAAGATACAAACCACAAAAACCATATATTCTTAAGAAAGGAAGCACAACACAATATAATAATTAAACACAGTACAGGCAAAATGATATAGAACATATGGCTCACTAACAGCAAAGCTTGATGAAGCTGCTACAATCCCAGGTCATTACCAATGATCCTACATGTCCTTCTCGAAGGCCCGAGGACAGAAGAGATTCCTACCCACAAGGAGGTAACAATTAACTGAGAGAGAAAATACAACTGTAGGAAGGGATTGTACACAAACTATAACTGTATAGATGCCAGCTCTGGACCTGGACAACACCAATAGCAGTCATAAAAGGGAAAGCCAACGTGCCGGTTACACAGGTCATTTGTCCAGACAGCAATACACAGTGAAGACCAATGCTAGCCCGAGAGACCAATCATCTCTGTTCTCTCCTACAGCCTGACCACTGTTCCCACCTGGAGGGTGACTGTGCCTCAAAGAAACAGCAATGCCCAGAGTCAGGCTGTTGCAACTGGGGCGGAGATAGGGTGGCGGGTACTACCACCTAGGAGCAAAGCCAGGGATGCCGCTAAACATCCCGCAAAAACCCAAGGACACCCTGCTATATAAAAGAATTACACACCCAGAAAGTCAACGGCCTATTGTGAGAAACCCTGAACCACATCAGACACCCCAAGAATAAAATGGGCTCACTATGAAGATACTAGAAAAAAATCCAAACTATTTATTCATTATAGCCTTAATTGCTCCAGAATCATCATATTATTTTAATAACCACAGATCTTCCCCTATTTGGCTATTAAACCAATAAAGCTATAAATATAAGCGTCTGGGAAACCTACTTGTTGATGTCTGCCTTCCTTTCGCCTGTCCCGCAGCCTGTTCGTGCTCGCTTCACGCACCGTAAGCACCAAGCTCAGTTTGCCCACTTTCTCCCCGGATGTCTACAAAGTGAATTGATAAACGCTAATAAATAGTCAAAGAATACAGATAGTGGAACTATCTATCTCAACCAAAGGAGTATATGATCTAAATCCTTTAGTAACGTTATTTTCTGTTATTTCAAAATCATTTTCTGTTGCTATAAAACACTGTAGGAAAATTATACCGTTTAGTAATGGATACGCACGACACTTATAAAACTCTACTAATCCAGACAGAATGAAAGTTAATCATCCCAGAAAAACAGTGTCTCCAAAATGGGACATTTGGAAGGATGCCCAGAAGATTTCAGGGAGGTATACAAAAGTACTTATATAAATTTCACTGTGAATGGAAACTATGCTTAAAATTTCATGAATATTTACCAATAATCCTGAAAAAATTTACCGGCAATTCTTACTGATGTAAAAAAAAAAAATTAATCTGAATTTTATATAACAGAAGAATCTCTCAAAAACTCAAAATACTTTCTAAAGTTTATCTTATATATAATAATTCCCTTTTATTTCATAATTTTAGGTATTAGATTTATATGCTTTTCTAGTTAGGATATTATAAATATATACACACATACATATATACTGATTTTTTCCTTTATCAAAAGTGCTCTATTATCAAATCATGTAGCAGATATTTTATACTTCAGCAACAATACAAAAAAATACAGGAAAACAATGCCAAAACCTATAGAGTGGATCATTTTTAAAGCTTTCCTTTAAAATATGCACTTATATTTCCATAAGTAAACATGTTGCTAAGAAGGATATTCAGCTTCCCAAATCAAAAGTACTTTTGGTTTAAAAAAAAGTCTTCAGTATGTTTTTTGTTTTATGCTGAAAAGGAAATAGCAAACAAAGAACTTTTTGTTGTTGACACTAATCTTGCTGTGATGGTAAAAGAAGAAAAAATATGCTTTCAGCAAATGAAAATCCTGCCAAAATATAGCACTCTGCCAGGGCGATTATTTTAGCTTCTGGTGTTTGACATTGATGCAGTAGGAGTAGGCATCACAGCAAAACATGTAAAACTTGACATGAGAACAGGGAGGACACAAACTTATGGGTCAACAGCGAAATTTGCAATGCGGCAACAGCACATACATCTCTGACTCAGTTTACTCTTCATAGATTCAAAAATAAATACTCAAAAAAATAATTCTACAAAATCTAGTGATTTTATATTACAATTGCCCGGTGTAATTTATTCCTTCTAATTAATAATCAGCATGTAGCAGAAGGTAACACTGCAAAAGGCCGCCCACTGAATGAGCTGCAGCGCTAACACTTGCTCACAGTCAGACGGGACAGGTACGCGCGCAGACACGGCTGTGCGCAGACTGAGGGCCGGCAGGGCTCCCCCTCTGTTCCCCTTTCCTCTCGTGGGAGAGGGTGGCGAGCTAAAGCCTACATTTCTCAGACTTCTCGGCAGCCAGGGTTCAGCATGTGACTTCAGTTCTGTCGGTCAGGTTCACGTGCTGAACACTGGGGAAAGCAGAAGTAGAGCAGAGGTCCTCCTTCCCCTCTTCTGTTTTTCCTGCTGGTAAGCAGGATCGTGGAAATACAAGGTTTTCTATGGGAGTGTTCCGGCACATTCCCCAGCTTCCAGGTGCTAAGGGGCAGCTGCATTGACAGAAGAAACTTCTTTATTCCTGCTTCCTGGATTACAGAGACGGGGTGTGCCTTGAACTCACAGTTCCAGTGGTGTCCTCAGAGGTGGCACCAGCCCTGGGGGGCCGGATCTCTGTTGCTCTGGGAGTTATTCCCAGAGATTCAGTCTGGAACTCCCTTCTGCTCAGGTGTCCCAACAACTCTCATCATCAAAGACCCTCTATTAAATCCCTTTCTGTTGGCCAGGCGCGGTGGGACTCACGCCTGTAATCCCGGCACTCTGGGAGGCCAAGGAGGGCAGATCGCTCGAGGTCAGGAGTTCAAAACCAGCCTGAGCAAGAGCGAGACCCCATCTCTACTATAAATAGAAAGAGATTAATTGGCTAACTAATATACAGAGAGAAAAAATTAGCCGTGCATGGTGGCGCATGCCTACAGTCCCAGCTACTTGGGAGCTGAGGCAGGAGGATTGCTTGAGCCCAGGAGATTGAGGTTGCTATGAGCGAGGCTGACGCCACGGCACTCACTCTAGCCTGGGCAACAAAGCGAGACTCTGTCTCAAAAAAATAAATAAATAAATAAATCCCTTTCTGTTTACTAGAGTAGCTTCTGTTTCTTGTCCAGGGTCCTAAATGACAGGACTCCCCCAACCCCAATTCACTACACTCAGATAGCTGGAACTTTAGATCATCTAGTATCTGAAGGGAAAAATATAAGCCACAATCCACTTTAGAAATTTAAAAAGAGGTCATGCATCAGAACACCTACCCCAGACTTCACATCATAAAGAGTATGTGTGAGAGTGATTTTGAAAACCGCATGGGATCGGCTACTCTCCTCATTCATGTTGGTGGCAGCAACTGTGCGAGATTTGTTACCCTCAGACATCAAAGACTCAATATCCTAAGTGGAAACAAGTCATAGATACACATTTCATTATTTGTGTGATAAACATTAAAACTCTGCTATACTAAAAAATGCATTACAAGTTTCACTACTTAGTCAACATTTGGAGCTTACATTTTATTTTTAAATGAACCTTAAGCCCCACAGAGTACAACAGCCACTACTGTTGCTAAAAACTCAAAGTATGTTATTTTCTGTAGGTACAGCTTAGACTCAGAAAAGTTTAGAAGCTACACTTTTGAGTCACACAAGATGGACAAATACACTATGCCAATCCTCATCTAATTTAGAAATTTGAAAAAATTTAGTTTCTTTAATAAAGAAGCAATATAGTTTATTGTTAAAACAAATTAGATTTACAAATAAGCAACAAACAAATAAAAACAACTTGTAACTCCTTCATCTAGGCATATCACTAACTGCCACACCTTGGTGTGTATCTTCAGACCTGTTGGTAAAAGTGAGAACCTCAAGAAACTGATTTTCTGCAGATTTACTACTTGATTGCTATTATTCCTAAAAAAGAGAGACAGTATGGCACAGTGGCTCACACCTGTACTCCCAGCACTTTGGGAGGCAGAGGTGGGAGGATCACTTGAGGCCAGGAGTTCAAGACCAGCCTGAGAAACATAACTAGACCCTATCTCTACAAAAAATTTAAAGATTAGCCAGGCATGGTGATGCACACCTGTATTCCTAGCTCTTCAGGAGGCTGAGGCAGGAGGATCACTTTAGCCCAGGAGTTCAAGGCTGCAGTAAGCTATGATCGAGCCACTGCACTCCAGATTGGGTAACAGAGCAAAACCCTGTCTCTAAAAAAAAAAAAAAAAAAAAAAAAAAAGAAAGAGACGAGAGACAGCATAATGCAATAGAAAGATCATGAGCTATTCATTTTCCAAAATGTTATAAGCTCAGTTACTTAACCAATCTGGATTTCAGTTGCATTAATAACAATTCAGAGCTATAACTATCATCTATCTTACAAGGATTTGAGGAACAGGAAAGATGATGTGTATGAAAAAGTCGAATAGTTGCCTCCTATTACCCAGTCTTCTCTTCTCTTTAGTAAAGGGGCCCAATCTTTAACTGAGTACACTGTGGAAGAGCTGAGAGACTACATTTCCCAGATACCCTTGCAGCTCAGTCTGACCACATGACTAAGTTTAAGCAAATCAGATTTGAAGTAGAACACAGGCCATCTGGTAATACCCCACAGAAGAACATGCTACACGTGTTGTTTCAAGAGCCATCTTGAACTATAAGAACGTGGGTATTACCATGTGGGTACACATCTCTTAAATGGGTCTAAGATTAGGCCTATAAACCTTATAAGAGCCACAATACCAGCCCTGGAGAGTCTATCTCCATACTGCTTTTACATGAAAAGTCTTGTTTAAATCACCATTCATTCTTTCATTCATTTATTCAAATGTATGTTGAATACCATATGCCAGGTGCTTTCTAGGCACTGTAGACATAATGAACAAAACAGATAAAGCCATGTTTCAAACTTAATCTATTATATTTTTATGTTATATGCAACTGAACATAATCCTAACACATGTATACAAAAAAACTTTGAAAATCACAGGATTCTATTTTGCTGTATAAATGAAAAAGAATAATGTTTAAGAAAAAAATTCAACACTATAAAAAGCCTCAAAGTAAAAACATTAACTGCAAAAAGAACTGTTAAGTAGGCCACAGATTAGGAAAACAATAACAAAAGGTAAAATTCACAATTTTCTAGATCCATTCCTAACCCAGTTTAGATCCACTAAGTCTGACAACCCTGAGACTTATTTAAAAGCTTCATCCCGTTTAGCTTACATTTATTCACTGGTCTCTCTTTTTAAGATTTTTTCTAAAAGGTGATTTTTATTAAGTAATGTTACTGTAAGTTTAATTTTAAAAAATATTAACAAATTAAACAAAAAAAACTTTACTGTACTAAATTTAAGTATTTCACATTAAAAAAAATGTTGTTACCTTGTAGCTTGTGACAGCCAGTTTAGAAAGTCCATCGACATAGGGTCCCAACACACTATGTTCTCTGACTTTCAACGTCTGCCGGCTTCTGTTCATGAAAAAACAAAGAAACAATTTTTTTAAACAATAACCTGTTTTTAAACGGACTCGACTGTGCTCCGTACAAATATACACTGAATTCAAGAAAGACTCCAAACAACTAAAGCCAACTGACTTGATCTCAGAAGAATTTAAATCAAACTTTAAAATCTTCACTGGAAAGAAAACTTCATAATGTGGTAGAATATCACATCACTGAAAAGGGTACACTGTGGGATGTCTATGTGCTACCAAAGAATGCAGAGTCAAATAAATGCCAACAATCTACTTGTCTTACACAGAACAAGACAAAGAGCAGAAACTCAGTAAATTTAGTTAACTGTGTAGGACGGAAAACTACAGACCGATTTCAATCATGAAAAAAGACAAACAAAAGACAACGCCTAATAATGACTTAAAAACAGAAAATTGGGCTTATCCCAGGGTTGTTAGGCTGTTTTAACATTCGAAGAAAACGATTCATGCACTTTTATCACATTGCCAGACTAAAGGGTGGGGGGTATGATCATTTCAATAAATGCATGAAAAAGGATTCAATAAAATTAAAATTACTAATTCCCAAGTTGAAACAAAATAAACCTCTTAGCAAAAAAGGAACTGAAAAATCAGTAAAGGGCATCTGAGAAAAATGTGGATCATATACAGCACACTTAATGATATAAACCAAAAATACTAACAATACTTGTTGAGATATTGGTCAAAGAGTACAAAGTTTGAGTTAGGAGTAAGTTCTTGAGATCTATTGCATATGACTGGTTGATAATAATGTAATGTATATTTCAAAATTGCTGAGAGATTTTAAATGTTTGCACCACAAAAGATGTGAGGTGATAGATATGGTAATTAGCTTGATTTAATCATTCCATAACGGATACATGTATCAAAATATCACATGGTTCAATTATTATTCCTCAATTAAAAATAAAATTTAGAAAAAGAATATTTATTGTTCTGCCTGAGGGACATACATTTATAGTTGTTGATGAGAATTCAGCTGATTCTTACTTTATATTCTTTATCTATAGTTTACACCATGAATGTGTGTTAATTTTGAACTATATGAAATCTTGTTTTATTTTGTTTTATTTTTTTGAGACAGGGTCTCACTCTGTTGTCCAGGCTGGAGTGCAGTGGTACAATCATAGCTCACTACAGCACTGAACTCCCAGGCTCAAGCAATCCTCTTGCCTCAGTCTCCCAAGTAGCTGGGACTACAAAGCGCACACCACCACACCTGGCTAATTTTTCTATTTTTGTAGAGAAGGGGTCTTGCTATGTTGCCCAGGCTGTGCTCAAACTCCTGGCCTCAAGTGATCCTCCTGCCTCAGCCTCCCAAAGTACTGGGATTACAGGTGTGAGCCACCATGCTTGGCCTTCTTTTTTTAAATAAGTAATGAATTATAATGCTTAAAATTCTTTGGTTGTTCTTCAATGCATACTAAATAAAGTCCACTCCTCGGCTTAATATATATATTTGTAAACATATGCAGGCTCTTTTGTTATCTGCCCTTGTCTACCTCTCCTCACTCACCTTCTCCCAATCCTCACCTTGGGTCAGAACTGATTTACGTATATCCATTCTCTAACAGACTATCGGCCCCAGAACAGCAAAAACAATGTCTTATTAATCTTCAGGTCTGTAGTTCCCAGCACAATTTCTAGCGAAAAGAAAACAAACTTGCAAGAGAGGAAAAGGTGACAAAAGGACCCCAAAGTGTGTCGGCTTATGTGATGGGGGAGGGAGCGCAACAAGAAAAGGCGGGGGGGCGGGGGGGCCGGGAAGAGGAAGAAATGGTGACAGAGAAGGTATGAAACGCACAGCCAGCACAGAATCCAAACCGCACCCGAAAGCTATTATTATTCACAATAAAGCAAGCAGAGGTACTGATGGCGAGATAATGAATAGTTACAGAATAACCTTTCAATCTCTCTACTTGTAGAAAGAAATTGCAAGTGTTACTAAAGATTGAGTCCATTTATGAGCTCAACGGAAATTATATTGGGGAATAGGAGAATCGCGCCCAGGTTGAACACGGAATGGAGAGTCAGACAAAGTATGAAAGAAGGAAAAAGCAACAGAGACCAAAAACCACTTCAAAGGAGAATGAGCTGCACTGCAGTGGATTCGGAGACGGCTCTGGGAAAACTGTGTAAGCTCTGGAATATGTTTTGCAAAAAATGCCCGTGTAAGGTCTTCCTGCAAAAGCCAAATATGATATAAAAAGGGTCATGCAAGTTTTTGAGAAAAAAAAAATGACAAATATCCAGCAAACACTCGATGTATTTTTTTAACCTAAGGATTAACACGTGGAAGTTGCAATTATAACCTAATTTAAACAGAAAGTCAAGTGAGCTTTTTAGAAGGCGTTTTGGTTTCATTCCTCAGGAACTAGGAATAATTGTTTTCATTATTTCCTATCAAAGACTGGTAAACATCCAGTGAGTCCCTTTCTAATGGAAAGAGGTGGCACCAGCCCTGGGGGGCCGGATCTCTGTTGCTCTGGGAGTTATTCCCAGAGATTCAGTCTGGAACTCCCTTCTGCTCAGGTGTCCCAACAACTCTCATCATCAAAGACCCTCTATTAAATCCCTTTCTGTTGGCCAGGCGCGGTGGCTCACGCCTGTAATCCCGGCACTCTGGGAGGCCAAGGAGGGCAGATCGCTCGAGGTCAGGAGTTCAAAACCAGCCTGAGCAAGACCGAGACCCCATCTCTACTATAAATAGAAAGAGATTAATTGGCTAACTAATATACAGAGAGAAAAAATTAGCCGTGCATGGTGGCGCAGGCCTACAGTCCCAGCTACTCGGGAGGCTGAGGCAGGAGGATTGCTTGAGCCCAGGAGATTGAGGTTGCTATGAGCGAGGCTGACGCCACGGCACTCACTCTAGCCTGGGCAACAAAGCGAGACTTGTCTCAAAAAATAAATAAATAAATTCCCTTTCTGTTTACTAGAGTAGCTTCTGTTTCTTGTCCAGGGTCCTAAATGACAGGACTCCCCCAACCCCAATTCACTACACTCAGATAGCTGGAACTTTAGATCATCTAGTATCTGAAGGGAAAAATATAAGCCACAATCCACTTTAGAAATTTAAAAAGAGGTCATGCATCAGAACACCTACCCCAGACTTCACATCATAAAGAGTATGTGTGAGAGTGATTTTGAAAACCGCATGGGATCGGCTACTCTCCTCATTCATGTTGGTGGCAGCAACTGTGCGAGATTTGTTACCCTCAGACATCAAAGACTCAATATCCTAAGTGGAAACAAGTCATAGATACACATTTCATTATTTGTGTGATAAACATTAAAACTCTGCTATACTAAAAAATGCATTACAAGTTTCACTACTTAGTCAACATTTGGAGCTTACATTTTATTTTTAAATGAACCTTAAGCCCCACAGAGTACAACAGCCACTACTGTTGTTAAAAACTCAAAGTATGTTATTTTCTGTAGGTACAGCTTAGACTCAGAAAGTTTAGAAGCTACACTTTTGAGTCACACAAGATGGACAATACACTATGCAATCCTCATCTAATTTAGAAATTTGAAAAAATTTAGTTTCTTTAATAAAGAAGCAATATAGTTTATTGTTAAAACAAATTAGATTTACAAATAAGCAACAAACAAATAAAAACAACTTGTAACTCCTTCATCTAGGCATATCACTAACTGCCACACCTTGGTGTGTATCTTCAGACCTGTTGGTAAAAGTGGAGAACCTCAAGAAACTGACTTTCTGCAGATTACTACTTGATTGCTATTATTCCTAAAAAAGAGAGACAGTATGGCACAGTGGCTCACACCTGTACTCCCAGCACTTTGGGAGGCAGAGGTGGGAGGATCACTGAGAGCCAGGAGTTCAAGACCAGCCTGAGAAACTAATAGACCTATCTCTAAAAAATTTAAAATTAGCCAGGCATGGTGATGCACACCTGTATTCCTAGACTCTTCAGGAGGCTGAGGCAGGGAGATCACTTTAGCCCAGGAGTTCAAGGCTGCAGTAAGCTATGATCGAGCCACTGCACTTCAGATTGGGTAACAGAGCAAAACCCTGTCTCTAAAAAAAAAAAAAAAAAAAAAAAAAGAGACGAGAGACAGCAGAGACAGCATAATGCAATAGAAAGATCATGAGCTATTCATTTTCCAAAATGTTATAAGCTCAGTTACTTAACCAATCTGGATTTCAGTTGCATTAATAACAATTCAGAGCTATAACTATCATCTATCTTACAAAGATTTGAGGAACAGGAAAGATGATGTGTATGAAAAAGTCGAATAGTTGCCTCCTATTACCCAGTCTTCTCTTCTCTTTAGTAAAGGGGCCCAATCTTTAACTGAGTACACTGTGGAAGAGCTGAGAGACTACATTTCCCAGATACCCTTGCAGCTCAGTCTGACCACATGACTAAGTTTTAGCAAATCAGATTTGAAGTAGAACACAGGCCATCTGGTAATACCCCTTAGAGGAAGTAGACATGCTATCACGTGTTGGTTCCAAGAGCCATCTTGAACTATAAGAACGTGGGTATTACCATGTGGGTACACATCTCCCTATGTGGAGTGCTAGAAAGAATCTAGGCCCCTAATAACACCTTTGGAGCCACAATACCAGCCCTGGAGAGTCTATCTCCATACTGCTTTTACATGAAAAGTCTTGTTTAAATCACCATTCATTCTTTCATTCATTTATTCAAATGTATGTTGAATACCATATGCCAGGTGCTTTCTAGGCACTGTAGACATAATGAACAAAACAGATAAAGCCATGTTTCAAACTTAATCTATTATATTTTTATGTTATATGCAACTGAACATAATCCTAACACATGTATACAAAAAAACTTTGAAAATCACAGGATTCTATTTTGCTGTATAAATGAAAAAGAATAATGTTTAAGAAAAAAATTCAACACTATAAAAAGCCTCAAAGTAAAAACATTAACTGCAAAAAGAACTGTTAAGTAGGCCACAGAATAGGAAAAC